GGGCGCGCGGGCGCGCCGGCCGCCAGGAGGCCCCGCCTCCCGCCCCCGGAGCAAGGCGGCGGACGTCAGCAGCGGGAAATTCCCCTCCTGTCGGCCTGGCTGCTTCTCCGCGGGGCGGGTGCTCGGCTCCCACCGCGTTCCGGCACCCTGGACGGGCGACGCCGGCTGACCGGAGCGCGAGAACTAAGGAGGTGGGAAGGTGTGAGCCGCAAACCCCGAGGAGGGCGGGAAGGAGGCGGAGGGCCTGGGAGTGGTCAGGGAGACTGGAGGTCCCGCCGGCAGAGGTCCGGCGACCGCCTGACTGACGTGCTACCTGGCTGCGGCGCTGTCCGGCCCGGACGCTTGGAGCTGCCTGCGGGGCGGCGCGGTGAGCGGAACCATGGCCTCTGGTGAGTGTTCCTGGGGGGAAACGAGGGCCGGGGCCCCCGCGGCAGTGTCGGGGGCAAAGGTCGCCCCGGGACTGCTGCTCCGGGTTTCGGGGGCTCTTGGTCTGCTGAGATTTGGCCGCGGCACCTTCTGTCTTTAAAATCGCGCTGTTTGGCAAATTGTCAGCCTTTTGAAAAGTTAGCTGGTTGAGGCTTTGCGTGCGAAATCAAAACCACGCTCTGTAATTTGATCCCGTTGTAGTAGCCGGCACCTTAGAAATTCCCAACGGCTTGACTTAGGATGAGGGAAGTGATCGTCCAGAGGAAGGCCCGGAGTTGGCGTGTTTTGGGCTTGATGTGTGTGGAAGTGGTGCGCGGGGTTTTAGAGCAGAGCGAGGCGCCTTCGGGTCCCCCGGAACCCCGGCCGTCGAGCTGACCCCCGACAAGCGCCGGGAGGCGGTCGCGGCTGTCCTGACGGTCGGACGCGGTGTGGCGCGGCGGGAAGTGTCGTTTTAACCGGCCCGAGGTGGGAATGCTGCCTTAACGGAGTGGACGGTTTTCATGGTGAGAGAAGGTGCACGCTTTGTAGAATACCGAGAAGCCGCTTTGTGTTTCCTTGGTTGGAAAGAAGGGGCAAGGTTTTTAGAGCGCTCGTGCTTTTAAATGACGGCTAGGAAGGAAAACAACTTCCTCTGCCTTGCGTGAATGTTAATTTTTAGTGGATAAGCGCCTGCTCTCTGGCTCTGCGGGGAAACGGGTTCACTGAGACGCAGCCTGGGGGACGAGGGAAGGCGTCTGCTCGGTACAGCCGGGGTTCAGGTGGGCCAGATACCCCAGGGTGAATCGGGGGGACCGCGCTGGAAGTGGACCTGCCCCAGAATTTTGGGAACGGGGAGGGGGCGCCTTCAGCAGACGGAGCAGCTGGGGCACGTTAACTAATGCTGCCCCGGGGGGCTGGTTCGTGTGCACCCCCGTCCGCCCTACTCCCTGCTCGGGTGACCCTCACTAGAGGCTGATACTACAGAAGAGGAAGTAGAAAGCATCAAGATCTTTTATAAAGGGTTGAACAGAACAAGGCCGTCGCTACTACCGTAGCCTGAAAAGGAAATAGGGGTGTTTCATATGACATTTGATTTCAGTTTGTCTTTGTGGTTTTCTAGTGCGAATACAGACATAGTTTAAAAATCTCAACTTTCCCTTTACCCACTTCAGTGACCCCAAACTTTCAGGTAATGGTCTAAATTCATAAATTCAAAGCGTATTTAGATTAAAAGTGTAAAGATGACTTTTAAATATTTGGTTAATTTATTGGTTATCAGGAAGACATGTTTTATGAAAGTGGTAAAGAATGACAAGCATTATAAGTAAAAGAAGATCGGCCTGCTGTTAATTTAACGAAACTTTGTTAATTTACTGCATGAATATATTGTATTCTAACTCTTGCAAGGGAAAAAAAGAATTCATTATTTCTATACAGAGTAGTGTTCTAAGATCACATGATTTTAAAATGTGATACAATTTAAATTTTTTTAATGACACTGTATCTTCTGCTGTTAATAAGGACTAAGAATTCCCTAAACTGGAGAGAACTAAATTTAAAAGAAAGTAAAGTTTTGGAGGTTTGGAAGTTGAAGAGTGATTATCTTACTTTTTTTTTTTTTTTCTTTTCTCAAGAGTTACGTTAAAACCGGACTGTTTAAAATATAGCAAGTTATTTTAAAATGTAATCCAATTATTTGAAAACCGCTAGGCAAATATTTTTTGAAAGGAGTTTGAGCGTACTTCCCTTAATCAGTTGTAAAAGCCTTAGTGAGAGAAAAAGATTCACAAGATAAATCATGAATTCCCATCCATATTTTGAAAACAGTAATTTAACTGAAAGTGTAACCAAAAAAGTAAGGTTTGTCTTAATTTGTTTATCATTGTCTGGTTTAGCTTCTGTTTGTAGTAAGGTAGTATTAAAACCTCAAAAAGTATTTTTATTGACTACCTAACCTTTCAGGCCATTTCTTCATTTCTCACCAGATGTCCTATGTAAATAGATACGTGTAGTTGAATGTGTGATCTATGTAACATAAAAGTAACGTATCATAATCTCATAAGCAAAATTATATGAGTGCCATGAGGAAAATATAGTACTGGGACTTTGATAGCGTCTGTGATTCTAGATTCTGTTTAGATTAGTCATCAGGCACCGTTTGGGTTCCATTGAGTAGTTTTTCATTGCTTTTTTTTTTAAACCTTGATTCCAATCTAATTAGAATTGGCATTGTGAAGAAAAATGTTCCCAAATCTGTCTAAGGTATCCGTATTTAGGCAATCATTACTTTTATGTGTTTATGATTCTATTCTATTGAATACAAGTAAAATTGGTTATTTTGTGTCTGAATTCAAAACTTGTCAATTGTTCCAGTAGAAAGAGCAAAGCATCCTTGTATGATGCATAGCTGTACTTACTAATAACTGGTACTGTCTTTTATAAAACGTTTTAAATGTTAGATGATTTGTTGTTTTTATTCATGTTTTTCTTTGGTACATTTCTGCTATGTCACATAATAATAGGAAGTCCATGAAGAAACTGTTTTCGTAAACCACATTACTTACCAACTCTTTGTAGTGTGAATTTCGAGAGATCTATTTTTTTCCTCTTTAGTAAGAGAAAAAAATGGATGTAGATATGATGCAACTTATCTTTAATAATAGGGCTGAAAGTTAGAAATGGATAACTAAAGCAAATGACTTTTTTTTTTTTTTTTTTAGTGAAAGACTGTACCATGTAAACATGAGTGTTGTTTCAGAAATTCGAAACATGTAAAAGTAGAGATAACAGTGGTATGAAAGAATTAAGGTTATAAATGATAGACACCGAGTGAATGAGATGACTAGGGAGGAATCAGATGAATCATAATTAGGAACATGTGGGGGGGGTGTGTGATGATTTTTCTCAAATACAACCTAAAGGACTCAGAATTTCTTTTTGTTCCAGCACCCTCTCATCTGTCTTCTCTGCAGATGATGGGTTTGTAGGCACACGACCTTAGCACGCTTTCCTCCTTTCTTGAGTCTGTGTCTAAGCTGTGTCTGGATTTTACATTCGTACGGTAATCAAGCTGTTAGGGATCAGGAGTAGGTCTACCAGATGAAACACAGGATACCCAGCTAAACTTAAATTCCAGATAAACAGCATATGATCTTTTAGTATACTGCACATACTTCCCAAATAGTCATTGTTTAGCTGGAATTCATATTTCTGTATATCCTGTATTTTCATTTCTCAAACAATTTGATCCTGCTACCTGTTTTTACTTAAATACGTGAACAGTCTAGGACAGATTTTGAATATTTCCCTACTTTTTCATCCTGACAGTTAAAAAGTTTTTTCAGGACTTGAGTTTTTTCCCCCACAGCAGTGGGATCTCTATGGCCAAAACCTTTTACTACATCTTTTGTTTACCTTGTGGTACATACATCAGTCAAACACTCATCTGAAAATTCCCTACTTGGGTTCTTTCTTAAGGCCTGATTAAGAGTTAGCCTGCTATAATTGGAATAAACTTGGACTTTAGCCCATGGTAGACCTGGTTGGTTTTCATTCCAGTTCTGCTACTCTTTGATGTATGGATTCAGTGTTATCAGTAAAACACACAGGAGCAATATTTACTGCAAAGGCTTGGTGTGAGGAAAATGAGGTAATGCATGCCCCTTAAAATTCTTTAATGGAGCTGTTTTGGGACTCAAGACCTCTAGGAGACAGGAGCCACTAGAGATACTTACCAAAACCAAACCCATTGCCGTCAAGTCGATTCCGACTCACAGCGACCCTATAGGACACAGTAGAACTACCCCCATAGGGTTTCCAGGGACCGACTGGTGCATTCAAACTGCCGACCTTTTGGTTAGCAGCCGAGCTCTTAACCATCGTACCACCAGGGCTCCCCAGAGACACTTAGTACTTTATATTAAGCATCCTTAAGATTCTAGGAGTCCCAAGTGGTGCAAACAGTTAACACGCTTGGCTCCTCACTGAAAGGAAGGTTGGAGGTTTGAGTCCACTCAGAGGTACCTCAGAAGAAAGGCCTGGCAATCTACTTTTGAAAAATCAGCCCTCGAAAGCCCTAGGGAGCACAGCTCTACCATGACATGCATGGGTTTGCCGTGAGTTGGAATCGACTTGATGGCAACTGGTTACTGGTTAAGATTCTAGAATTTTATGAAACCATAAAACCAATAATAGACTAGACCAGATGCTGGATAGAAATACATCTTTCAAGAATTTATAAGAATGCCCATTTACTTTTAAACTATTTGAAATGGTTTTGTGTGTGTTTAAAAAAGGAGAGTAGATGTTCGGAGGTTACGTGTCTTATCTCCTTTGTCCACTTAAATAAAAGATTACTTAGTAGATAGTTAAACAATGTGTCCTTTTGCCGATTTGACTGATATCATTCATTCTTCATTGGCTTTCTTTTGCATCTCCTGTGATAGTCTTTTTCTGCCTTATGGGAATAGGCTTAAGAGTTCTTTGCCTTTTTTGTTCAATGAATGCAACTTAATCTTTGTAAGAAATGGTGACTAAGTTTTGGTCATAGGAAGAAATGGAAAAACTTACCTGTGTCTTAAGGTAAAGAAGATCATCAGCATGACTTAACTGGGTTCCTAGGTTTGAGGAAAGAACAGATCTTACTTTCACTTTGTCCACAGTGAGTAGAGGTCATGTTCGGAAAGTGTATGTTGTTAGCTCCGTTTGCTCCTTTGGGTCTCGCAGAGTGTGACCCCCTACCCGTGCGAGGGGTTTGCAGTGAGCTCTTCTCCACTGTACTGTGACGGACGGGTGTGGTATGGTTGTCTGTGTGCTGTATTGCAAGAAGCATGCCACTGATGATAGTTAAAATATTAATTTTGTAAACAATTTACCTTTTAAATAAATAAGAGCGATTCAAAGCTATCCCTATACTAATGTCTTCTTCCCTTGCTTGTATTTGGATGAGCTTTGTAGGGTGGTGGGAGAGAAGGAGGAGTTACAACTAGCCAGAATTGCTCAGCTTATTGTATCCATGACACAGCCCATACTTGTACCTGAATTTTTGTGTAGCTTCTCTAGATACGTGCATTGTTGTTTCCTCTTCTTTACGTTTTAGGTCAGTGTTTCTTAATCAGGAGTGCGTGTTAGAATTGCCTAAAAGGCTGTTTCTGAAGTGTGTCTCTGGGCTTTACCCTTGAAGATTGCCATTTCTATTCAGCAGGCTCAGGTGAGGGCAAAACATGTACATTTTGAAGAAAGTGGTTCTGATCTGCACCTACAGCATCAGTCTGTTCTGGGGATTTCATTGGAGCTAAATGCACAGTTGCTATACTGAGATGCATTATCTTCTTCAGCTAGGATGCATTTATTTTAGATTGCAGGTTATTTGCTATCTCAATTATTGTGACTTTACCCCCAGCTGCTTTTATCCTCGTTTTTTTGAATTCTGATATCCTGGATCCCAACTGTCATATTAGTTAATGTGATGCATAACTTCTTTTTCTTATAACTTCATATAATTTTGTAGCATTGGCTGTGTTATTAATTATATGACCTTGAGCAAGTCATTTAACATTTTTGAACTTTAGTTTTATTATCTATAAAGTGGGATAATAATTCCTGTTTTTTTTTTTTTAATGAAGCTCAAAGCTGTTAAGAGGATCAAATGAGAAATGTATGCAAAAGTACTTTTAAATGGTTTTATAATTATAACTGCTGGAATTTTTTTTTTTTTTTTTTTGCTGTATACTTAATGCTGGTTTCTAATTCCAGCTGTAAGGTTTTAATTAGTAATGTATCTATTTTTGACAATTTATGATTCATTTTTTAGCTATGTTTTATTCCAGTATAATTTCTCTTTTTAATCTTAAAAACTCATACTTTATTATGTAGGCCACCATGTTTAAAAATAAAAATAGTGCCTTTTTTTTTTTTTCCCCTAAGTGCACATAAAAAGCACAAATGTATCTTGCAAACCTGTTTGTTATATTTCAAATGTTACTCTGGTCTGTAGTAGCATTTTACTGTTCAGAATGTAAGGGCCAATTCAAACTTTTTATAATCTTGATTAAAGAAAAATACAATAATCAACTTGTATAGAACCCATTTTGAAGACATTTTTTCAAAACTAGTGATCTGAGATAATCTTAGTTAAAAGTACTCATTTTTTCTACAACTCCCTGATTTATATTTTGCCTTCTACTTCATAGATGACTAAATTTCAGCACTTTTTATCTTCAGGAAGAATGACACCTCACTACAAAGTACTGAGGAAGGAAGTAACTGGTACATTATAGTGATGCCTGATGTAAACCTCACAGCTGGGGGCTTTTTAAAAAATCATCAGTACAGATAAAGAAATCAAAACATGAACGGGTGTAAGAAGTACGAAGGTGTAGCACTGTTGGAGCCCAGTGCCTACAAAGCACTATTTTTGTTTCCAGAATAGTAGAATCAAATAAGGAAAGTCTGATTAATCACTTACACAGTCCCTATAACGCTTAAATAACTTTCACAAACAAAAACATCTAACTTTAGAGTTTCAGTCATTCCCTCAACAGACACTAAGGCACCAATGAGTAAGACACAGTCCCTACCCTCAGGCAGCTTTATCTCAAGAAGAAATGAAACAGTCTTCCCTAAATTAGAGTTATTTGGAATAGTTGTCATAAACAGAATGCTGTGGGAGTTTTGAAGAGAAGGAGATTATTTCCAGCTGGGGGTGTAGAATATTGACAGTCATTTCTGTTCCTTGGTTGTGAGACTTTGACCAGTGAAGAGCTTCTGCAAAAGGAAAAATAAATTTCAAAAATTTTTCAAGTGCTTAATAGTCTATGATAAGTAATATTTATGTCATTAAAAAATTTTTTAAATCTTTTTAACAAGTGCTTGTCTGTTCCTTTGTCTATATATATATAGCTTTTTTCCTAAATATATGTCTAATTTAAAGAAGTATGTGTAACCACTGAAAGATCTGAATGCTCAGTGTGTGCCTGCCACTTTTATTCATATTACCCCCTTCCCCAAAAGTTAACCATTTACCAGTAATGATGTCATTCAATACCAATTTCCTACCAAGACACTTTTAAATAAGTAGTGGGCAGGGATTTATTTGACCTTTAGTTCAACCACGTAAATTATTTAAGATACAACTTTAAAAAGAGTGCTGATTTTATTAGCTATTTAGAGAAGATGTACTTTCTCTTAAATATTCCTGCAAGGATATATGAAGATGTGAAATATTTCAGTATGAGAAATATTCATCTGCATTCCTGTCTTACTGTTTTTCAGTAAAATTGAAATAAGTGTTATGAACCTGATTGGGTTAAAATCAGTTTTCCCTGGCCCTTTGTCCTTTTCTTTTCCCCCATTGTGGTGAAAATACACACAACGAAACCTTTCCTGGTTCAGCAGTTTCAATTCAGTGAGAGGGATACGCTCTTCAGCGCCCCCTCAGCAGAAGCGCTCCCTTTCCCCACCCCTGGTAACCATGAATAATCTTTAGTTTTTATATATTTACTTATTTCACATAAGTGAGATCATACAGTATTTCTCCTTTTGTGACTGACTTATCTAGCTTAGGAGACCTGGTGGCACAGTGGTTAAGTGCTTGGCTGCTAACCAAAAGGTCGGCAGTTCGAATCCACCAGCCGCTCCTTGGAAACCCTATGGGGCAGTTCTTTGTCCTGCAGGGTCACTATAAGTTGGAATCAACTTGATGGCAACGGGTTTTTTTTTTTTTTTGATCTCGCTCGGCATAATGTTTTCTCCCGCGTTGTGGCACGCATCAGAACTTCATTCTCTTTGTGGCTGAGTAATGTTACATTGCACACTTTGCTTATCCATTTCTCTGTTGATGGACATTTCTGGACCTTTGTTTTTTGGATGAACACATAGGCAGTAGGTTCAAACATGAGGGTAACTCATTACTCAGTAACCCAAAGCAGGAACCTTGGAGCCATCAGTGATCCTCATGTTCTGTCAGTCCCCAAGTACTGCCCATTTTGTCTTCTAAATAAGCCTTCATCCCAGTTACCACTGTCCTCTTTCAGACATACCCTCCTCTTGTCCACGTTGTTTTAATAGTCTCTCAGCTGGTCATCCTGCTTTCTCTTTTCTCGTCAGTCTGTTCACTGCCACCACAATTCTCACTCTGAAATGCCTGTCCAATCGTGATTCCCCTACTTGAAAACACTCACTGATTCCGTGTCACCCTGAGGGTAAAATCCAAACCCCTAAGGGTGCTCTGGCTCTTGGTGCTCTTTGTAAAGAGTGGATGTTTGCCCACCGGGGCCACGCTGGAGGTCCTTTAAGCTGGAGGTTCTTTAACGGACCGTCTCTTCTCTGCTGCCATGCCTTGACTCACAGTTCCCTTTCCCTGGAACGTCCTCTAGTTCTCCCTTCCCTCTCATCTCTCCCCCCACTGTTTTGCTTCCTTCACTCTTTTTCCCTCTGACATAGTGAGGCACTCCCCACTGTTTTGCCCTTATCCTCACTTTATTCTGAGTTTTGTTAATGTTTCCCTCCCTTCTGTAGTTTAATAATTTGTGTTCTGTTGCTTCACTGTTCCATAAGGCCCTTGTTTAAGTCACTGTTTTCAAAACAAGCATTTGAAATAATAGACACTATTTAGTGACTCTCTGTTAATATGCCTGCACTTGGTAAGAATTCTCTCATCCTCACAACGACTCTGTGAGGTAGGTGCTGTTATTCCCCTTTTACAGAGGAAGAGCATGACATTTCCAGGGTCTCATCGCTTAGAAGTGGCTGGGTGGTATTCAGAGGATCTCTCCCTGTACTGCATGGAGAAGGCCCGTCGTGTTACCCCTGCTGAAGGTGGCCTGCACTCACAGAGGGCAAGCCTTCTGTCAGTGAAATGGGTACCAGATTGTGGGTATTTAGAAATCATTAGACTGGTTGAGGGAGTTTTGGTTTACATTGTTAACTACCTTACTGGTAAGCACACTTGAGTGTTTTTATTCAACTGTCATTTCCAAGATTTGGATAATAGAAGAGAGCAAAGGTGCTTATGTTTTAAACCGCTGAGTTGAGGTATAGTTAACATACAATAAACTGTCCATGTTTGAAGTATACCATTTGATAAGTTTTGACATTTGTATTCAACCTTGAAATCATCACCACAATCAAGATAATGAACATATCCATCGTCCCAAGTTTCTCACCCACCTCACATCCCTGCAACCAATGGTGTGTTTATTTTCATTATGGATTAGTTTACATATTCTGGAGTTCTGTGTAAGTGGAATCGTACGGTATATGCTGTTTTTGGTCTGACTTCTTTCACTCAGTATAGGTATTTTGAGGTTCATCCATGTTGTTTGTACAGTAGTTCTTTCTAAAGGTACATATTTTGAATTAAATTTGTTGTGGAAAGTAAATTATTTTCTTTTTCCTCCATTGTGTCTTACGCTTTAGAAAAAAGGTTTAGATGAGACTAAAAACTCCCTTGAACCTGAAGTCCCTTCTGGGGCTTGTTTTGATGGACCGTGTGTGGTGTTGTCGTTGCTGTTGTGTTGTTGTTGTCGTTGCTGTTGTGTGCTGTCAAGTCAGTTCCGACTCACAGCGACCCTGTAGGACAGAGCAGAACCGCCCCATAAGGTTTTCAAGGAGCGGCTGGTGGATTCGTACTGCTGACCGTTTGGTTAGCAGCCGAGCTCTTAAACACTTTGCCACCAGGGCTCCAGACTATGTATAAGTCCTTTGAAATTCCCATGCGAATAATTTATATGTGTTCAAATACATTTTCGTGTTCAGTGATCAATCTTTTACTTCACTGTTAGGGTCTAAAACCAACCAGTTAAACTACACGTTACTCACTTTCGGAGTACAATATTGTGCTTCTGAATACTATCTTCCTATAGCTCCTTTGGGGAAATCTTGGGGGAAACCCCTCTGCTTGGTCTCACGTGGGAAGTGGCTATCTCTGAAATGTTTGCCTCAGAGCTTCACACTGGCATCAGCTAGAGGTACTCAGTGATAAAGTCCTAACCAAGTCAGTTTGGTTTGAATGGCTTGTGCTAACACTCTACAGGAGCTCACTTTAATGGGAAAAGTGGTATCTCCCACCCCATCTTGTATAATTGCATTTCAACCTTGTTATTTCATGTTGAGAGGGAAAGTCTTTTAGTCTGCTGTTTTGGAAAAAACAAAATGGTTAAAATCCATCATTATTGCTATCCTAATCTCACCTTCCCCCCCCTTTTTTTTTTATTTTCAGGTGGGTATAACCCGTATATAGAGATAATTGAACAACCCAGGCAGAGGGGCATGCGGTTTCGATACAAATGTGAAGGGCGCTCAGCAGGCAGCATTCCTGGGGAGCACAGCACAGACAACAACCGAACATACCCGTCTATCCAGGTAACTGACCTCTTCTGTGCGCACCTCACTTTCAGGGCTTCCTGTTTTAGCTGCAGCAGTTACATTGGAGCCCAGTATCTTCCGGTCGTCCCGCGGTCTTTTCTTTTCTCTCCTATTTTTAATTACTCTGTACTAGATGGCTAGATGTCTAGCGACATTTCTGAAATACAGGATGGACTTCTCCCCCCTGTAGATAGGTCAGAGTCCCTGGGTGGTGCAGGCGGCTAACGCGGTCGGCTGTTAACCAAAACGTTGGCAGTTCGAGTCTACCCAGAGGTGCCTTGGAGGAAGCCTGATGATCTACTTGTGAAAAATCAGCCATTGAAAACCCTGTGGAGCACAGTTGTACTCTTGACACACACGGGGTTTCCAGGAGTCACACTCTGCTCAACAAGAGCTGGGTGATTGGCACGTAAGTCGTCCAGTGTGGTACACTGTTGTGTATGAGGCACGGTGCTTCGTGTACGTTGGCAGCTTTAGGATTGGGATCCCTTTCCTAGAATACAGCTGATGAGGAAAAAGCATTGTCTCCTTCCAGATGTGAGTGAGGTTGTTGTGTAGATTAAAGATATAGATTCAGGAACTCAGCTGGAATTATCCTCTTCACTGCAGTCACTTGGCTTAGTCTTGGCTAGAGGCTGTGGAAAAGGGGAAGATCCTTTTTCTCCTCTCTCCTTACCTTTCTTGTTGGCCCCTGGGTCTCTGGGTCTTGCACTGACTGATTGGAAATACTGTTACTTTTCAAATACAGTTTTTTTCATATTAGCATAAATTTAAAAGTAGATCAGATATAAGTTTGGTAACATATGCTATATTTATAGTTATAAATACAGTGTGTTTATATTTTATATTTATGTACTATGTTTTATTTGACATATTAAAAATTTTAACCTTTAAATGCCAATTAAAAACCTTATTGGCAGAGTGAATTCTGAAAAATGTTATTCAGTCTTTCATCAACAGATTTTAAATCAGTTTTATAACTAGATTATTTACAAACCTTATTTTATTGAACTTAGAGGAAATTGCTAAGTTATAGACTAAGCTAATGACAAGTTATGTATTGAATTCCTAATTTTTCTTACATTTTTGGCAGCAATATGGATTTGGATTATTTAAGTCCTTTTATTTAAGTGTTAAAATGGGAGAAATGCTAATGAAAGATAAATAAGAAAATATTCTTCGAATCCTTTTAAGAGTTATTTTAGCTCTTCTCCACAATTCAGCTCATTCTACATGTTCTCTAAAATGTTTCTAAGATCTGCTGTATGCTTACATTTCCAGGAAGTCCTGAACAGTTCACAGCTTGAGCTCTAGATCAGCTGTCTAAGTCTTGTTCAGAAAGGCAGTACTTCCTGGTTATTGTTCAAATTAAGGTTAAATTAAAAATTACGAAATTTAGTGCCATCTGCCTGTCAAGCCACTCGTTCTTACTTACCTACCTTTCTCTCTTGTAGTGTGCTGGTTTTCATATTTTCTGCTTTCTTGCAAATGTGCTAGCTTCCAAACTGAACATTAGCTCCTCCCCATGCTCAGATTAGCCTCCTTCTTCCATGCCAGGCGTTCCTCTTCACCGGCAGGGCTAGATGTACCCTCTGTGTAAGAGTTTATCTTGTTAAAGTCAGTGGGACTCATGGCCTGTTGTTCATTGGACACCTGGAATATGCTTATTGATTAGCAAATATTTTTGTGAAATGAAACGTTACATATTAAGTAGAATGATCGTTTTGATGTGTTATCATTCCCAGTGCGGCTTAAGTGTGTCCTTTCAAGGGATGTTTTTGGAGTGATACTGCATCTCAGAGCGGGACGTTCAGTGACTTGGCATCTAAGTATTTTCTCATGTTCTGTGATAAAATTGTGGCTTAATTTTACTTGTTTTGAAAGAAGAATAAGGAGAGTCCGATGAGTTGACCAACTGAAGTTAGGGCAAAAAATGTACGCCAAGACACTGAGAGGTAGCCCTTCCAACTAGTTATTCTCTGGACAGTTTCCTCCACCTGCAGTCAGATGGACTTTATCCAGTGCTGGCGACATTGTGTAGAGTACGTCTGTATGTAGGTATGTATACACGCATGCCTGCGTGCAGGCGGTGAAACCTGTCGGGCCAGACCCATTGGGACGGCCTGGTTCTGTGGGTCCCCCAAGCGCCCCACCGCTGACAGGGTGCAGTCTTAGTGCCTTTCTGTCACTTGCTTTAGTGGAGAATATGTGCGTTTTCCTTCTCTGACAGGCTTCTGCCTTACACAGGCTCCAGCTTTCACAGGTTTTACTGTATTTATTTATGGCTCATCTGTTTGATTTCCCTTTTTCAGATTATGAACTATTACGGAAAAGGAAAAGTGAGAATTACGTTAGTAACAAAGAATGACCCCTATAAACCTCATCCCCATGATCTGGTTGGAAAAGACTGCAGAGATGGCTACTATGAAGCCGAATTCGGACAAGAACGCAGACCTTTGTTGTGAGTACACAGTCACAGACACCTTCAGGAGTAGATAAGCGTCGGATGCTCTGACCCTCTGTTACTTTTTAGCAGAATAAACTAACTTCTTATCCTGTTCTGTCCACTGTGTACATTCCAGCTTACCATTTGCATTAGAACTACCCTTTCTTTGATTCTCCTTTAGCAAGCACAGTGTACAGTGGTAGAAGGAGTACTTCTTTATTAGTAGTAAAATTAAAAAAAGAAAAGCCCATTGCCATCAAGTCAGTTGTCACTCATAGTAACCCTAGAGGATGGAGTAGAACTGCCCCATAGGGTTTCCAAGGAGCAGCTGCTGGATTCAAACTGCTGACCTTTTGGTTAGCAGCTGAGCTCTTAATCACTACACCACCAGGGCTCCATTTTATGCTGTGATTTTCTCTTAGTTTGAATAATTTATGAAAGATTTTCTTTTCAAAATTTTTACCCTGTCTTTCCATTTATAGTTAACTTAAAATTCACTAGATGTGAGGAAAATCAACTGGGAAACTATTATTTATTAAGGGGCAGAAAATAAAGTTAACATACACAAGTCACTAGTTCCAAGAATGAAAAAATGTAACACTTCATGGTGTGAGGCCGCCAGAAGGTGAGCCCATTCATCATCATGTTGGTCAGAGTGTAAATTAATGTAATCTTTCCGGTGAGCATTTTAAAAACTATATAGCAAAAGCCTGAAAAATATGAATGCCTCTTGAGCTAGCAATTCCACTTCTAGGAATTTATCCTTAGGAAATAAATAATTAAGCATGTTCAGACATTTAGCTATAATGATGTTCATTGCAAGTCTTTTTGTAATTGCAAGAAGTTAGGAACAATCCAAATAATAAACGAAAGAAGATTAGTTAAATAAACTGGTACATCCATACAGTGTCCTCCTATATTGCCTTAAAAATAGCATTGCAGGTATGTGTCTACTAATATGGAAAGATAATTCACTATATGTGAGATGAATAAAGTCGGTTTTAAAACAATATGTGGAAAATAATCTTATTTTTGCTTAAATTTATACCTATACATGGTAGTATATGCACTTAGATAGTAATAGCAGTTGTCTCTGGGTAGGTAGGATTATGAGGTTTTCTTATGTTTTTCTTTTAACTTGTGTTTATTTTATAATTCATTTTTGTAATGAACATGTATAGCTTTTGGGGAAACAATGCAACTAATACAAGAAAAGAAAAATAACAACACAAAACAAAATATCTGGTGTCGTAGTTATCTAGTGCTGCTATAATATAAATACCACAAGTAGATGACTCTAATAAGCAGATATTTATTTTCTCACAATTTAGGAGGCTAGAAGTCCAAATTTAGGGCGTGGGCTCTAGGGGAAGGCTCTCTCTCTGTCTGCTCTGGGGGGAAGGTCCTGGTGTCTTTTCAGCTTCTGTTCCGCGATTCCTTGGTCACCTTCATGTTGCATGGCATCTCTCTTCTCCCGTCTGTGCTCTCTTGCTCTTCTTATGTCTCAAAAGAGATTGACTCCAGATACATTCTTTACTAATCCTGCCTTATTAACATAACAAACAACCCATTCCCAAATGGGATTATAACCACGGGCATAGGGTTTAGGATTTACAACACATATTTTTGAGGGACACGGTTCAACCCATAACATCTAGCAATACCCACCTGGCAAAAAATACACATTTTTTTCCTGTCTATTTTACTTGATCTCCCAGCAGCATTTTACACTGTTGGCCACTTCTTTCTTGAAACATTCTTATTCTTTGATTTCTGTGAGACTTAACTCCCCTGTTTTACTTCCTACTTTTCTGGCTGTTCCTCCTTGATCTTAGTTATAGGCAATTATATTTTTGAATTACCTCAGTTATTTTCCCAATAATGCCCTTCATAGCTGTCTCCCAGTCCCCCCAAACTAGGATTCATTAAGAATCACGCATTATATGTAGTTGTCATGCCTGTTGAGTGTCCTTTAAGTTAGGGCAGTTCCCTATCCTTTTTGGGTCTTTCATGACCTTACCACTGTTTGAAGCATTCAGGCTAGTTGTTTTGAAGATTGTCTCTCAATGTGGGTTACTCTGAGTGGTTGCTCATAATTATATTCATGTTAAACGTTTTGGGCAAGAAATCTACAGAGGTGATGCTGTATCCTTCTCAAAATATTCCTTTAAGAGACATGTAATATCAGTATTTCCTATTCTTGGTGATAGTAAGTTTGATCACTTGGCAAGATTTCTCCAATGTCAAGGTGCTTTTTTCCACTGGAACACTTCAAGACTGTGAATATCCTATTTGCCAGTTACTTTTTGGCATCCATTGATGATCGCTACCTGAGTCTGTTGTTACAATATAGTTGTAAAATGATGATTTTTAAAAAATTCTATCATTCCTTCTATATTTATTAGTTGGCATTCTGTTGTAAAGAAGAACATTCCCTTCTTCCCTTCTCGGTTTTTAAAAATACCACCATGGACTCGTGGATTCTTTTTTTTAATCATTATTCAGTATACTCTGGTCTGTTATTAGCAATATTCTTTAGATTTTTCACATTGGAAGTGTGACCAATGCCAGCTCCTTCACACCATCCATCTCCTGTGTACTGTGACACGTCCTTGGCATTTCTCTGAACACTTCCTCACACTTTTCCTGCTTCAGCCCCAGTTTCTTCCAAGGAGCCCTGGTTCTTTTCATTTGAGAATGGTATTTAGTCTAATTCTCTTTTTTTTCTTTTTTGGGTTTTAAAACAGACATTTATTGTATCACAGTTCAGGAGGCTAGAATTCCGAATTCAAGCCACCAGCTCTCGAGGAAGGTGCTCTCTCTCTGTCTGCTCTGGGGGAAGATCCTCATCTCAGCTTCTCTAGTGTTCTTCTTGGCATTCCCTGGAGACCTCCACGTGGCATCTGTCTTCCCCTTTGTGCTTGCTTGTGTCTCTCCCTAATCTGTTCTTTTTATATATCGAAAGCGGTAAATTTAAGAGACACCCTACCGTGATACAGCCTCACTAACATAGCGGGGATTCCAGCACTCATTTTTGGGGGACACAGTTCAATCCATAACACACCACTTGAGTTCTGATACCTCACCCAAGCTGCTTCTCCATGTGGACCTTACTCTGCCCATCTAAACTTTAGTACTGAATTTTCCAGGAAGGGGAAGGCTATACTATAACGTTTGGTGCTCCTAATTGCCATCTTGACATATTCTCTTAGATGGCTCAAAAGCACCTCAAACAGAATATGCCCAAACCGTAATCTTACCCCTGCAGGCCTCTTCCCCTGTAAGTTGGTCTTGTTTCAGTGCTCATTTTCTTAGTGGTTGCTACAAAAGCCCCAAACTTGAGTGTTATCCTTGACACCTCTTACACTAGCATACATGTAGTGACTCCACTAACTCAAACTCATTGCCATTGAGTCGACTCTGACTCATAGCGACCCTATAGGACAGAGTAGAACTGCCCTCACAGGGTTTCCAAGGAGCAGCTGGTAGATTCAGACTTTTGGTTTGCAGCCTGAGCTCTTAACCACTGTGCTATGAGGGCTCCGAATCCACTAACAAGTACCTCTTCAATAACTCTTGAATCTATCTACTTCTCTCGGTGAACTCCACCACCGCCCCACCACCACTGCAGTCTAAATCTGGGCTGCTGGGCTGGGGGGGCCTCCCACCTGCTGTGTCTGCATCTCCTCGGCATCACTCCTCCCCCTCTGTCTTCCACTTTAGCCAGAGTGATTATTTCAGATACAAATTGTCACCCCCTCCCCTACTTAAAACATTTCAATGGCTTTATGTGGCTCTTGGAGTAAGGACAGTGTCCATCCACGGCCTACAAGGCCCACACGGCCTTCTAGTATAATATATCTACACTGCAGGCCCACGGCCTTCTAGCATACCATGCTCACTTGATATCTACACTGCAGGCACACAGGCCTTCCTTTCATTTCCTGTGAGCACACTGCTTTTCTCGAGGAACTTTGCGTGTTCTCTTTCTGCCTGGGAGTCTCTTTTCTCTCGTCTTCACCTAGTTCACTTCTGTTCATATTACCACTTCCTGCAGGAAGCCCATCTGCCCTCCCTGAATTTATCAACCCTCTCCTTAGAGGCTCCCATAACATCGTGTGTATCTCCTTCAAAACACCTGTCATGATTTCAGTTGAGCGTTTTTGTGCGTGTGGTTATTTAATATCTATCTCTTTCGCTAGACTAGAGGTCAGCAAACTGTTTCTGTAAAGGGCCACATAGTAAGTATTTTAGGTTTTGCAGGCCATATGGCCTCTGTCACAGCTACCCAGTTCTGCTGTTGTAGCACCAAAGTAGCCATGGACGGTAGGTAGGTGACTGAGTGTGGAGGTGCCACATAAACGGTACATAGGTGACTGAGTGTGGAAGTGCCCCATAGAAAAAACATAGGTGACCGAGCGCGGAGGTGCCCCGTAGACGGCGCGTAGGTGACCGAGCGCGGAGGTGCCCCGTAGACGGCGCGTAGGTGACCGAGCGCGGAG